ACGCGTATACACACACACACACCCACACACACACACACACACACACACTCACACTCACACAAGCATGTTACATCAGCACAATCATGCCAGGACACACAATCAGCTCTTGGTGTTCTTGTGCTGTGTGGATGTGTACTCACCCCGCTCCACTCTACAGCCATACTCACTTCATCGCCGGCCTCAGAGCCGCTCTCGTACTTCACGCTGGACACACCGTCTCTGCTGCGCCGGCCGTCCTCCTTCAGGAGCTCCACCACACGCGTCTGATGGACCGGATCCAGACCCTGACGAACACAGACCCACAGCTCACCACAGCTCACCTCGTTAACCAAAAGCACGCTTTATTTCCATGACTGAAGCCGAGACAGTGACACGGCGACTCCATCAACATGCAGTACTGATGATGAGAAATGTAGGTTAAAAAATAAAAACTCTTTAAAAGATTAAATAAGATCAAATCTAGACCTCCATGAGTTGTCACGCTTGGGTTGCCAGACGAGCTTAAATCCCCCAATCAGAGCGTCTCTCTGAAAAGGACAAATTTTCTGCCCAACCTGGCACCTGATGATCTGAACCTCTGTGCCACAGTACAAAGCCTTTTGGTTGTCATTTTAATAGAAAGGCATGAATGCAATGTGGAATTACTGGAATTATTATTAGGAATATCACTTTTCATAATGTAGAGAGTGTGTTTGTATTTCTGATAACATAATAAATCAGGAAACTAGATGAGCATGTGTGTGTGTCGACTTTCTCTTGATTTGTGCTTGCAGGCGAAACAGCTATAATTCTGATCAATAATCACGATTATAACTGTGATTATCATTTCAACCATTATACAGCCTGACTAAAGTATAATGGTTATGACAGGACAGGTGACTAAATATGATAGCAACTAGAAAGGACATTTGACTCCAAATGAACACTAGAACACACGCAGCAGGGCATGATGGGATTGATGAGCTGTGCGCTCTATTACACGAGCGTCAGCACTAATGAACATCTTCAGAATGACTCACGGAGTTGCTCTAGGATCCACAGAGGAGCAGGAAGGAAAGAGGAGAGAGAAAGCACGTGAAACACAGTCCTTCACACACACACACACACACACACACACACACACACACACACACACACACACACACACACACACACACACACACAC